AAAGTGCATTCCTCGTCGGCGATAACGATTATCGTCCTTTGACCGTTCGAGGAGATAACGAAATCTCCACAGTTTTCTTTCCAAAGCTCGTGAACGTCGACATTCTTCCAAAATTCATAAAACGTAAGTACAATAATCTTTTCACATTAGCTCGCGTCGTCTGCAAGCACTGAATTCTTTGTCGAAGCATCAGATATCGTTTCGAAAATCGTTTTCTTTAACTCGTGCGCTCGGACTCGTTAGGCAACGTTCGGTGGACCTGTTTTTCGTTTATGCGTCGGTATTCGGTCGCCTTCCAGCTTCCCAACAACGCGTTTGTTCCCTCGTACAATGCCCTGGTCCCTTTTTGTTCGTCTTGAAAGACGGTAAACCGGGAAAGGCATTTGCAGCACGTGATGTCATACTGGCGTAACCCTTCGTTAGTCGGGTGACATGTGTCACCCACTCGTATATTTCTCTTCGTAGCTCTAAAGCCGTTTGAATCGCCAACGGCGTACAAAAAAGGAAGACATTTGAAAGAGACGGTGCAACCAGTTGCATCCACCTTTCGTTCGTTAACGAATTCCTTCGAGAGCTAATCCACGAAAGTGGAATTCTCTCTCGACTTAAAATTTATCCGATTCTGGGGCACGGTTATCCCGCGTTCTTTGCCAACATCCGAGTCGAATCGTTTTTCTTTTTTTTTATTGTCGCGCAATCGTCGGGCGATTTCAGCGATCTTGGCTCCGCTCGCGCGAAGAAAAAGTAGAACTCCGGTACCCACGGCCGAACAATTCTGTCGTGAGAACGCGAAACCACGCGGACCGAGCGAGCCTAATTATCGCCGGTTGATCCGAGAGGCGTCGTGTTCTTATCGGGGTCGAAACAATGGCGCATCCTCGCCGAGCACACTGTAACGCAGACAATGCGCTTCCGGTGTGCATTTCGCGCGCACGAACAGACGTCTCGAACGGCTCCCGTTTCGATCCACGTATCGTTTCGCCGGTATCGATACCAGCCAACGCGTGCGGCCGTCACGATCCGCCATTTTCCAACGATCGATTCCTCTGCACCTCACAACCTCTCACAAATTCTTTTTAAAAAACCAATCGTGCTTCGATACTACTCTAAATCAAACATCGCTTCGATACATCGATGTCCAAACACTTTTATTTCGATAATTTCGTTGCAACGAATGAAGTCCTGTCGTAATAATAGTACGAATATAATGGCGATGGATAGATCCGCCATTTTCCAACGATCGAATCCTCTGCACCTCACAACCTCTCACAAATTCTTTTTAAAAAACCAATCGTGCTTCGATACTACTCTAAATCAAACATCGCTTCGATACATCGATGTCCAAACACTTTTGTTTCGATAATTTCGTTGCAACGAATGGAGTCCTGTCGTAATAATAGTACGAATATAATGGCGATGGATAGATCCGCCATTTTCCAACGATCGAATCCTCTGCACCTTAGAACCTCTCACAAATTCTTTTTAAAAAAACAATCGTGCTTCGATACTACTCTAAATCAAACATCGCTTCGATACATCGATGTCCAAACACTTTTGTTTCGATAATTTCGTTGCAACGAATGAAGTCCTGTCGTAATAATAGTACGAATATAATGGCGATGGATAGATCCGCCATTTTCCAACGATCGAATCCTCTGCACCTTAGAACCTCTCACAAATTCTTTTTAAAAAACCAATCGTGCTTCGATACTACTCTAAACGTTTGGATCTCAGAATTGTGTAAATAGAATGATTAGTAATGCAAATTTTGTACACACTAAAACAGATTTAATCGAACAATCATTAGAAAGTCTAAGATTATCCTTGCAACATATTGTAAATTAATTTATTTTGTTACATTCACTAAGCGATAATGTTTGACTATGTAAATCCACATCTGTAGTTGCATATTACATCTTTGTACTAAAGGGTTTAATACCCGTTAATAAATGAACGAATAAATCAAATATCGCTTCGATATATCGATGTCCAAACACTTTTGTTTCAATAATTTCGTTGCAACGAATGAAGTCCTGTCGTAATAATAGTACGAATATAATGGCGATGGATAGATCCGCCATTTTCCAACGATCGAATCCTCTGCACCTTAGAACCTCTCACAAATTCTTTTTAAAAAAACAATCGTGCTTCGATACTACTCTAAATCAAACATCGCTTCGATACATCGATGTCCAAACACTTTTGTTTCAATAATTTCGTTGCAACGAATGAAGTCCTGTCGTAATAATAGTACGAATATAATGGCGATGGATAGATCCGCCATTTTCCAACGATCGAATCCTCTGCACCTTAGAACCTCTCACAAATTCTTTTTAAAAAAACAATCGTGCTTCGATACTACTCTAAATCAAACATCGCTTCGATACATCGATGTCCAAACACTTTTGTTTCGATAATTTCGTTGCAACGAATGAAGTCCTGTCGTAATAATAGTACGAATATAATGGCGATGGATAGATCCGCCATTTTCCAACGATCGAATCCTCTGCACCTTAGAACCTCTCACAAATTCTTTTTAAAAAACCAATCGTGCTTCGATACTACTCTAAACGTTTGGATCTCAGAATTGTGTAAATAGAATGATTAGTAATGCAAATTTTGTACACACTAAAACAGATTTAATCGAACAATCATTAGAAAGTCTAAGATTATCCTTGCAACATATTGTAAATTAATTTATTTTGTTACATTCACTAAGCGATAATGTTTGACTATGTAAATCCACATCTGTAGTTGCATATTACATCTTTGTACTAAAGGGTTTAATACCCGTTAATAAATGAACGAATAAATCAAATATCGCTTCGATATATCGATGCCCAAAAACTTTTGTTTCGATAATTTCGTTGCAACGAATGGAGTCCTGTCGTAATAATAATAGAATTCCAGCGTCGGGTGGAAAAAATGTGACGCGTCGCGAGACACGGGATCGTTGACACGATCGTCGATCGCCGCTGACCGAGAGAGGGTTGCGAGTTCGTAGACGTTGGAACGCGGTGGAATTCCACGACGCTGGAGAACGATGGACAGGGGCCTATGGATCGTGATTAGTCACTCGGATGGCTCGTTAAAGGCGTCACTGTGATCGAATTAAGGTCGAACGAGAGCGGGACTTTTCTCGCCACGATTATGTGGGTCGGTTAAAACGCCATTGGCTGATTAGCTTCGGCCGTGGTGCCGCCAGCATAACCGAACGAACGACCCATTTTACTTTCGCGGCCAAACTTTACCGAATAACTAATCGACGCTTCACAGTCGACTCGTAACATAGTTTTCGTCCAATTAGTAAAGCGTAACATTCTTAACCCTATGCACACCTATGGCGAGTGTGACTCGACATCAATTTTTATCTCAGGAGCTCCTTTGTCCCTACACGATATTTTTTCAAGTCCAAATCATGGAGATATCATACACTTGAAAATTAAAAAATAAAACAGATATTTAATTGAATTTGTTTCTTCCTCTATTTGTTTAAATTTGCCCTACTTTTTAGCTAACGTAAATTTCAAATAAAACACTTAAAAGCGTTGGAAGCTGCTGGTAACAAAATTCAAATATAATTCGGAGTGCAAAGGGTTATAAATTATTACGAGACATTATTCAGTCAAGTTTATCTATTAAACGGAGAAGAATGAAAGTGTTGCTAATTCCACTTCTTAAAGAAATCGTTAAATTTGGAACTCCACGCCGTTTTAGCAAAGTACTTCTGTCGGCGTTTAAAAGTTTCCTTACCTTTCGAAACTCGATAATGTCTGCTCGTAGGACACGATGGCGAGTCCAGGACAGGGAATTCGAAATGAATTTTTGTTTAATAGCATCGGTGTCGTGAAATTGTCAAACAGAAAACGAAATCGAATATCCGTCGTGGAAGTACCTGCGATTAAAAGCGAAAAAGAGAAAGTTAACGCCAGGAAAGTTTCCGCGACGAACGATGTCAGCTTTTTTTCTAACCTCGGGGCTCGAAACCGGTCGCGGAGAAGGAAACCGATACGGGAGAAAAATTCGCGGTCGCGAGTGAATACTAAACGGACTCCTCTTCGTCGAAACGTGCAGTTGTCACGGTCGTACAGTCGGCGGGATTAATCTCTTAATTCGGTCTAGGTCGGATAGATTTGGATCAATTTAAGGGGTTACGTCACCTGGCGACGAAAAAAAAGATTTCCTCGTAGATGGAAATTCGTTTCTGGTCCCTGTTTAGGCGATCCAATAGCACCCCGATTAGTCGACGCTTCGAGCTGTTCGCCGACGCAAGGATTCCGTCTGTTTTCGAATCGCGTGGAAATTTTTTAGTTTTCCGGGTCGTCGATAAAGAGGCCGCGGTTATTTATAGAACGACACCACCGTTGCACGGGGTTCAGCTCCGTAAAATCGATGAGCTTTCGTGGGAGCTCGCGAAAGGATCGTCCTCTGGGCAAGATTTCCCCGCGGCAGGCAAAACGAATAGGAATATTTATTTGCAGAAAGAAATTTATTTTAACGTATCATTAACTGCGATTCGTTAAATAAAATTGCGTACGAAACCACTCTTCTTGACCCTCCTCGTTTTCACGTCCAATCGTCTGACTTCGATTTTAATGTGCTTTCGCGGAACGATAGTGAAGTGGTCCCTTAAGATGTACGCAAAATATTGGATGTAGATACTAAACGCTTTTTGAAAAATAAATAATTTAAGTGGGACCATTGTTGTGTTAGCTCTGTATATCGACTATTCGCAGGATGTCACCAAAAATTTAATATCAATAGAGTCCAGAAGTTATTGTATGAAAATATAATACTGTAGCAATTAGAGCCTAATAATGAGCGTCATTAGCTCCTGGTGAAGGCAATAAATTCCTACTTGGTACGATGCAAGAATACACGAAAGCTTTAATCGTTTATATCTTGAAAAACGTCGAGTACCTGCACCTAATGGTCCCAGTTTCATCCCCGTGCAAAGTTCGAAGTGGTTTGCTGTCCGTGACGACCGGTGTTGTTTCCAGGAAAAGATGAACGCACCGGTGTACGCGTCGTCCTGCCCCGCGTTGCAGTCGAATCTGTCGCTGCACAGCTCCTCCTACTACAGCGAGTACAACGGAGCCGCGAGGAGGCGGTTGTCCTCGACGGGGGAGGCCGACACCTCGGCCACGTCGAGCTACGAGGGTAGCGACAGTTCCGAAAACAGCGACGAGTCTCGCCTGGAACCGGTCAGCCAGATGGAACGCGAGCAACTCGAGACCTTCTTTCGGGGCTTGAAATCTCAGGTGAACGTCTCCGAACCCTTCTGAGTTCTCTGTTCGATCAGCTTTACCCATCGCGATAGATTTTTAAAACAGAGTTCCCTTCGCGAACACCTCGCGATCTTCGAAGGGTTGCTAATTTTTCGTTTGGACCAACGCAGGTGTTCGTCTGCGAGTCGTTGGCGAACCTGTATCTCGGGAACGCGTCGCAGACCGAGAGATGGGAGCTCCGATTCACCGGGATACCAGTGGTGGTTCTGGATCTCGGGGAAACGCGATCGAGATCCAAGCGGCGGATCCAGATTCTGCTGGCGGAGCGCGGCACTTGCTTCACGCTTTGGAGAGAGACCATCGATAATCTCTCGTCGTACAAGGTAAACGATTTTTCTTCCACCTCGAAGAGTCAGGCGAATCTTATTGTCATTTAACACTAGATTGCCCAAGGAAGTCATTTCGACTGCTTTTTAATTTCAATTAGAAAAACAATTATGTATTATGACACAATTTCTTAGAATTTTGTCACTTTTTGTACAACATATAAATGAGTTTATTAATAATTGTAGTTACCTATATTGCCCAAAAGCAGTAATTTTGACTGCTTGGGAAATTTTAAATAATCAAATGACTCTTATTATCGAATCGAGTAAATTTCTTATATGACCAGTTCGGCTCTGTATTGAAATAACAGTTTTCATTTTTTTTTCGATTACCGACACATGATTTATATACTTGATAAGTTGCAGTTTCTCAATAAGCTAAAGTAGTACTTGTTATTCGAATCTTTATGCAGTGATACTTGTCCCAACAAGTTGTTTATTTTATTTCGTTTATATTATGTTTATAATATTAAAAGTGTAGGATTTAAAAAAAAGAACAAATGTACAAATAATATAATTAAATGAACGAATTTGAAATACACCAAGCACACAATCTTTTTACACAAATCAAAATCACATTGATTGACCACGCAAATTCAAATCACGTCTGTCTTTTCCAATCACTCGTTACTCTCTCCCCGTTGTCTCGCTGTCCCTAGTAACCCCTTCTTTTTTTAACAAAACACTTTCAACCCTTTTGCACATAAGTTAACATTGAACCAAACTACAGCGTGACACAAATATTCAACACAGAAACATTAAACAGTCTACAAAACACTTATATATTGAAGGATGCATAAAAATTCAACGTGTAAGTTACTCTAATACGCAGAAAATGAGGAAAAACTCGGTTTTTATTTTTTTTCACTGCGGCGCACCAAAATGAAAAATCTGAAAAAAATTGAGAATAATAGTAATAGTAATACCTGTTTACTGTAAAAGTATAAAAGTAGTTCCGGGCCTCCTTCAATACGTAATCGGCATTTTTCGGCATTTTTTGCTGTTTCTTATTTTTCACTACCTGGTTCTTCGATCAAAAAATCTGAAAATCTCCCAAAGTATGTGCCCCGGTACCCGAAATGTCTCCGAATTTTTTTACATTTTTTTACTTAGGTCAAGAGAAATTGTACAAAAACATGATTTTCGTTTTCACCCCATTACTACACCCACGGTCGAGATTTCAAGTTAAAAATTTGCACACAGGGTTTTTTTTTGCTATCGAATGACCCATGGCTCGTTCCATTCGGTTTGGGGGCACATTTGACCCCCTTATTCGGCTATACCCTTCCTTTACACATTAGTTCATTCACGATGCAGTAATTTTGACTGCTTTTGGGCAATATAGGTATATAGTAAGTTTCAGTGTTTCTAGTGTTAAATACCGCGAATTCGTGTTCAGGTGTCTGGTCCAGCGTTTCACACGATGTGTCTGTCGTCGGATCACACGCGCCTCGCCGGGCTCAGCTTCGACAATCCGAAGGCGGCGAACGATCTCTGGCAGCACATAGAACGGCTCGTCTCCTGTCCGGAGAACATCAGCCTGTCGGTGCCGGGTAAGAAGAAGAAGAAACCGGCGCCGAAGAAGGTGGTGCTGCCGGCGAAGAGCAACATCAGCCAGCCCTGTCAGTTCCAGCACGTGACGAGCGTGGACGCCGCCGATCGGTCGCGATACTTCTCGCTTCAGACGTTGGTGCCGGCTCTGAACGAGCTGGGGAACTCGTTGGAGGCGAACTTCTGAGACAACGGGAAGCCCGACGAGCCTGTGGACCCGTAGTTCCCCTTGCTCGTCCCTCCGTTCCCTGTCCGATCGGATCGTTTTAGCTAAATTACGCCGAGAAGATCGGAAGAGAGACCTCGATCCTCGAGCTAAATCAAACGCGCCGCTCTCCTCTCGCAGGAAGCAGAAACGAAGATTCAAACACCTCGAGCGGACGTTCTCGAGAGTCGTTTCACGGATTTTATGCGTTTATGCACGGAGAATATATTTTGTAAAATATACGAAGAGAGAATCGCACTCGTGACCGAGGTTCGTGTTTGTTAAATATTTGTAAATTAACGCGTTCACTGCCAGACCAATCCTGACTCCGTCGAGACTCGTCGATCTCCGAGAATTGACTTTCGTAGCTTCTCAGTGAAAATGCTTGACTGGAACAAACGCGGCAGTGAACGTATTAAGAATTCCTTGGCGTTTTATATAATCGTTGGAACCTCGATTATCGCAGAAATTTCCAGCCCCCTGTCGCTCGTGTGTCTCGTGTCTTACTTGTTGCTTATCCAGCAGCCCCCTCACTTGTTGACAGTACTGCAACGAACGAGCCTTTGTACGATAAACTACCCTTGCGTAGAATTTCATAACGAAATAAAGCTGTAGAAGCCCACAATATCCTACGTTGTTTCATTTTGAAGACTTTCGTGTTCCAGCACGGCATAAATGCATAAAGTCCACGGTACGTCGCGATTGTTCCAAAATCGAAAGGAGTTTCTCTAGCAAACCGGCGACCGTTTCGAGTGTGCTTTTAGAGAACGGAGGAGATTATGATTAACGGAAGCGTGAAGCGTAAATTATGATACAATGTTTTGCGGAAACGCGCGCGTAGACGTCAATGGCGGACGATGAAGCTCGAACTCGCGGTTGCCGTTGCGACGAGAGCCTGGTCGTCGATGGTACTCGGTTTTTGTTCCTCGGTCGCAATTAGCCGACCCTTCTGCGTTCAGAAAACCGTTGTAATTCCTTTTGCCGCGGAGGGGTTCTTCCGGTGCGTTTTTCTCTCCGCGATTCCGGTTTCCATTTTAACCCCTCAATGCCCGTATCGTTCTCAGACAATTTTCATCGTGTCTGTTTGCATTCAACTTTCATTTTTAGTTCGTTCGTGCGTGCGATTAATTGGGATAACGATGCATAATTATCCCAATTACCGGGACGATTTTTATTTATTACGATATTAGTGCACTTTCCTTTCGTGGTTTATTCTCTGATCTAAGTACTGTGTACCGCGTGTATTCTCTTTCCAATTTTATCGCGTTTACGATAAACTGTTGTTAGAGAAAGAGCGTGGGCACTGTGGGTCCATTTTTTCTTTTTTCTTTTTGTCACTCCACGACTCGAATTCTGATTTTTATCCAAGAAATACTCGACTTGGACGGATGGTTTCTTCACGAGTCGAAGTTAAATAGAAAAATTTACGGGAAAGGAACCTCTAATTAATATGCAAGCACAGTAGGAACTCCGACATTCATATTCATAAGGCAGGACCGTTTGAATACGGGAACTTTCGAACCATAGAACTCTCGCTTCCTACGAAACCGATCGAAGAATGAATTTTGCGTTAAAAAAGAATAAATATTCGCGAGTTCTCAGAGGCCGTCGACGACAGGCAACGCGCGTTTCAAAATGGCAGACTCCATTCTTTCCGAAATGTCGACAAACTGCGTCTGGAATGTACAAATGTAGCAAGTTTCGTATTTTCGGCGTCGACAAAATCCTATTTAACGCCTTCTCTGTTCACCGTGTAAATAAATTCGTTTCTTCGAATTCACGTGCACGTAAAATCAAAGGCGTCCAACGGTATACCTTGAAACACGCTCCGACTAATTTCAATTGCTAATAATTTGAAAGAATACTACTTTTTAATCATTTTTTAAACACTTGGTGACCAGCGAGCACGTTAAAAGGACCGACGTCGGATATTATAAACACTTACAAGAGCCATGGACGTGACGATTTCTCGTTGCAGTGTAAAATGGTCGCGTCCGTGGCTCTTACGAGACAGATCATAATAAAAGGAAAATCGATGTTTAAAACGACTTCAGAATTTACGAGTAACAACGTTTAAGCGACTGTTTAGAATTGTTGTAGTTAATCGTTCGAGGACCCTAAGTATTCGTCGTTAGATTTGAAAATGATTCACCGTCTAAAGTCCAGCGATCGTTGCAAAGAGCATAGAAAATTGAAATTTTCACCGATACTCGAGAATTAACGAATTTGCGCTCGACGCTGGACGTTTGATAATAATATCGCTGATTTCTGTGCACGATGGCTCGCGAGAAGCTTCCTCCACGTTCACCTTTGACCGTCGAGGATCAGTTCCCTGCGATCGTGCGTCGGGAATCGTCGATAAGCTTTTGCCACGTGTACCGTTCTCATTCCGCGACACTTTGTCGTTTATCACGAAGTCGGGGCTTTTGCGTCGATCTTCGAACGAATTTCTGTCGCTATACATACGCCTCGATAGCTCTACGCATACGTCGATGTTTACCTCCTATTCCGAGACGGAGGAGAAGGTAGGAAAATGTGTCGTCAGCAAAAATTCTAAAATAGTCGAGGAAACCACGGGGGAATTTTGGTCGTAGAGTAAATATTCGCGTCGTAGATCTTAGGGAACCACTTGGTCGGTGTGTTAATGTTCGTTTTCCAATGAGAAATAAGGACAAAAATTATATTAGGAAACTTATACTGGGCCCAAGTGTCAACGAAAATTTAATTTGTATTGTCGCCACATCGAAGGTGGTGTTAGCTAATTTTGTATTTCGTGTTATCGTTTAACGTTCCTACCTTCTGCTCTAACGGCAAGACTGTTCTCGCGACGCTACATTTAAACGAGCGATTTTAACATAGACAGTGTAACGATAGTAGCCCTAGAAAACGTTTCGTCGTTACCAGACTTTGATCGTTGATGTTACTCGCCCCCTCGGTAGGCGATCCGATATCGCGCGCGTATTTAACCCTTGTCGCTGTTATTTCTGTCCCGTTTCGATCATCGAAAGCGAAACGTTTGCAGGCCCGCGAACAAAGGATCTTGCTCGCTTAGGATCTGTTCGCTTACATTTTCGTCCAAGGGTTAAACGGTGAACTTTCTCGCAATGGAGAAATCACACGGACCGTCAGTTCTCTCGCGTCGAGGAACAAATCACCGTCGTATGTTCGTTCGCTCGCGATCACCGAGGCTTCCACGGCGGATCTTTAGAGACTTAAGTGTACACGGAGACAAACCTCGATATCAATTTAACATTTAACTTCTTTTGTCTACGACTGTGATATAAATATATTTGTATAGTTACGTTTCGTAATACGTATCCGCATTGATTAATCACTTTGATATGTATAAGTTTACCGAGCATCGTTAAGCATGTAATAATTGTGGTAATAAATAGTAACATCATGAATCTGTGTTTATGCATCTCTCCTACTTTCCTTTTATTGTTTCGAACGAATGGTACCAGCATCAACATTCTGCGTGAAAAGGTGTTTAACGCGTCTGATCATTATTTGTTACTTCTACTTGAGTTGGTGAAATGAAAGCGAGGGTGGTAATAATACTTTACAGACAGTTTGGTTCTGTCGTTTCTCTTCTATTCATTAACTAGTAATAATATACGTCGACCTATTCATTAAACCTAATCCAAAAGTTATTTCTGCAATGAATACTGCGCCGATTTGTGAAGGGCTACATCGTCATCTGCTAAAGGAAAGTCCATATTTGACGTCGAATAGTTTGCTGTCTGCGACGCTAGATGACGCTCGTTTTCGACCTCAGGCCCCCTGGTGTTAAATGGCCCAAGTTTGTCGAAAATAAGCGCCATCCAGCGTTGAAGGTAACGAACTATTCCACGACAAACTTGGGCGTTTTAGCACCAGGAGGCTTGAGGTTGTGGGGTCGAGACTTATGGTCTCGTCCGCACAAGAGTATAGGGGCGCAGTTTCCCGTCAAGTGCGAATCCGCCGTAAGGTTGCGCGCGCAGCGCAGCAGGGCGAAAGCGCGTCCTCCCAAAAATGCAAGGACGCTCAAACCACTGCTTGGTAAGAACTTCGCGAAGAAGCACCTCAAAAAGATTAAGAGTAAAACTCCTGTTGCTAGACAAAGACTTGTACGCCTAGCGTTAATAAAGAATACTCGTTATTGTTGTTGTTGTTACATACACGTGTTGTATAACGATTACAACTTGCTATTGCTTGCCCCTGCTGGTCTCTGCTTGCCTCTGCTGTCCCCTGCTGTCCCCTGCTGTCCCCTACTGTCCCTTGCTGACCCCTACTGGCCCCTGCTGACCACTGCTGACCACTGCTGAACTTTCTTATCAACTTCTGACATGATGTATAAGTATTCAAGCCTTGTATAATGTAAATCTATGGCAATAAATGATATAATTTAACAGAATTCTAAGTGTTCTCATCATTTTTACCTTTCTTTTCCTCTCCAAATCATTCCCTTAGTTTTAAGAGACCGTTTTTCCGGTTAAAATTGGATTCCCAAAGTGTCCAGCTCTCGTACTTGCTGCCAAAATCAAAAATTAACTTTAACAAAAAGTCCTGAAACAACTCGGAAGTCCTGAAACAATTGGAAAGTCCTGAAACAATTGGAAAGTCCTGATACAGCTGGAAAGTCCTGAAACTCAGAACTTTGCTAAAAATTCAGGGGGTCCAAGAAATTTCAGGACTTTCCAGCTGTTTCAGGGCTTTCCAGCTGTTTCAGGACTTTCCAGCCGTTTCAGGACTTTTTCGTTGTTTCAGGACTTTTTCGTTGTTTCAGGACTTTTTCGTTGTTTCAGGACTTTCCAGCTGTTCCAGGGCTTTTTCGTTGTTTCAGGGTTTTTTCGTTGTTTCCGGGCTTTTTCGTTGTTTCAGGGCTTTCCAGCTGTTTCAGGACTTTCCAATTGTTTCAGGACTTTTTGACGAAAAATTTTAAAGTTAATTTTTAAACGATAGGTATGGCGGTAGCGATTTTAGGTTCATTTTAGACTTCGTTATCAGGAGGACATGATAGCGGAAGAGGTGGCACGTATCTTATAACTATGGGAATGCTTTGGAGAGGTAAAGAAAGGTAAAAATGACGAGAACACATGGAATTCTTTGTAATTATATCATTTATTGCCATAGATTTACATTATACAATGTTTTAATACATATATATCATGGCAGAATTTGTTAACAAGGGTCAGCAGTGGTCAGCAGTGGTCAGCAGGGGCCAGTAGGGGTCAGGGGGGGCAGTAGGGGCCAGCAGGGGACAGCAGTAACAAGTAGTAATAGTTATACGTTGTCAGAAGCATCAGGGGTGGTCAGCAGAGGCCAGCGGAGGGTAGCCGTGGACAGCAGAGACCAGCAGTGGCAAGCAGTAGCCAGTCGTAATCGTTATACGTTGTCAGAAATACAAGGAAAGGTCAGCAGCGGTCAGCAGAGTCCAGCGAAGGTTGGCAGAAGTCAGTAGTAATCGTCATACGTTGTCAGAAATATAAGCTGTGGTCAGCAGAGGCTAGCAGAGGCTAGGAGAGGCTAGCAGTAGCCATTCGTAATCGTTATACGTTGTCAGAAATACCAGGAAAGGTCAGCAGCGGTCAGCAGAGGCCAGCGAAGGTTGGCAGAAGTCAGTAGAAATCGTCATACGTTCTCAGAAATATAAGCGGTGGTCAGCAGAGGACAGCAGAGGCTAGGAGAGGCTAGCAGTAGCCATTCGTAATCGTTATACGTTGTCAGAAATACCAGGAAAGGTCAGCAATGGTCGTCAGAGTCCAGCGAAGGTTGGCAGAAGTCAGTAGTAATCGTTATAGGTTGTCAGAAATATAAGCTGTGGTCAGCAGAGGCTAGCAGAGGCTAGGAGAGGCTAGCAGTAGCCAGTCGTAATCGTTATACGTTGCCAGAAATACAAGGAAAGGTCAGCAGAGTCCAGCGAAGGTTGGCAGAAGTCAGTAGTAATCGTCATACGTTGTCAGAAATATAAGTTGTGGTCAGCAGAGGCTAGTAGAGGCTAGGAGAGGCTAGCAGTAGCCAGTCGTAATCGTTATACGTTGTCAGAAATACAAGGAAAGGTCAGCAGAGACCAGCGAAGGTTGGCAGAAGTCAGTAGAAATCGTCATACGTTGTCAGAAATATAAGCTGTGGTCAGGAGAGGCCAGCAGCTCATTCGCGCGATCGGGCCGCGGAACACCGGCCATCGCGCTTATAGATGCATGAAAATTAGTATGCAGGCACGGTGTCGACAGCCCGGAGCAATTATTTTAGGGGACCGGCCACGCTGACGTCGTGCACGTACCCTCGTAAAGTTAATGCCTCGATGTTTGGACTCTCGCCGAACGAGTTTCGGTAACGTTGCTTTAATTTCCCGTGAAATTCGCCTCGAGACTCGAGACGATACCTCGGCTCGATTACCTCGCTTCACGGCGATTCCGAGCCTCGAGGATGCCTTTCGCGGCCCAGAAGAATGCCTACGAAGGATATGATCTTCCATGCGTCGATCAGAGTCTCGCGGGACTCGTGGATATGGTCCTTGGTGCTTAGAATAACGATGGAAGTGGTTGGGATGGATTCTCTTAGCGATCCTCTGGGTCTAGGAAAAAGGGAATTATTCCATACTAATTACTTTTGCTGGAATCCGGGTGGTCAAGTAATGCTCCTTTTGTATTACAAGAGTTTATTCAATTACGTCGAACTCGAATATGAAGAATAACGGAATTTAAAATGGAATTTGACGCTTGGACAAGGCGTCAACACCCTCAGACTCTTGTTTTAGCAATAGTAGGGGAGGAGGACCCTTAGACCTAACGACTAACGAGCCTTGTGACTAATAGACGATGACGTATCGATATTTGACCTATTGGTCATACCAACACTTTTGCTATCAGTAAATAAATATACGTTGAATTGTTTCTTGCACAACGCCGACTTCCGGCCACTGTACTGGAAAATAGAAAGGTTCCCTAATTTTGTGAACATTCCCAACGCGTCAGGGTTGAAAATGTAGAATGATCAGAAACGATTATCGCGTTGTTTCGAATTGCAAATCGAACCGGGCCAGATTCTCTATTCGTTTTCTATCGAGAGATCCCAAGATGGCGACGTGAGAACTGGCGCCGATGGTACGCACGAGCGCGACGGATTTAATTGCTCGCTAATACCGATCGATTGTATGCAAAACTCGACAACGCGGGTCGTCGTACCCGGAATCGAAGCGACACTTTCATCGTCGTACGAATCGGCTAACTTTCTTCTCGCATCCGGTATCTACGTGACGGACAAACGGAGAAACGGATGAGCCTTCTCTGTCCGCATTGGCATTCCTCGCGTCGGCTACTCTCTGCGTTAGCGTTGCTACCAGACACGCGCAAGGATTTCGGTTCCTCCGAGCAGGATGTAATTTGCATTCCACTTTCACCCGTTCCGGAACGAACGTAAAATGCACCGAACAAGGCTGTTTAGAAACGGTCACGACCCACCGTTGGGGCCAAACTCCAAGGTTCAACTCGGAATACTCGTCCATCGATAGCTTGCAAACACCATACTGTAAGAAGTCTATGTGTTTGGA